AAAAAAAAAAAAAAAAATTCAGGGGATAGGCTGGGCACCGTGGCTCACACCTGTAATCCCAGCACTTTAGGAGGCCGAGGCTGTTGGATCATCTAGGTCAGGGGTTCAAAACCAGCCTGGCCAATGTGGCAAAACCCCGTCTCTACTAAAAATACAAAATTAGCCTGGTGTGGTGGTGGCGTGTGCCTGTAATCCAAGCTACTTGGGAGGCTGAGGCAGGAGAATTGCTTGAACCTGGGAGGCGGAGGTTGCAGTGAGTGAAAATCGCACCATTGCCTGGCCTGGGCAACAAAAGCAAGACTCCTTCTAAAATAAATAAATAAATAAATATTCAGGGGATAAATTAACTCAGATGGGAAAATATTACATCTTTGTTTTCACCAATCTCTTAACTGAAATTTAGATTTCCTTCAACTACAAATGCAGAGAACAGATCACGATAGTGTTAGCAGTACCTGTGACTTTGTCCCCAATAGAAATCACAATTTTATGTCACATTACTGTTACTACAGGTATCTTTAAATATGTTTACAATTATCATTACTTTCAAGTTGCCATGGTTATGAGAGTTGCTTCTATATCTTGTTATTTATTACATTAATAACAAGTACTTCTATAACTATACCAGCTTCCATGTCTTACATTTTATTCTCCAGTAACACTGAACTGTTTTGTAATCCACACCCAGATATCAGCATACACACTGTTCTCAGCCCCAAGCCTCTGTTCACTAGTCTCTCTACCTAGATTGTCCTTCTCTTCTGCCAGAGCTAACCCTTCCTCCACACCCTCACAAGACATGCCACCCCCCATTCTCCTCACACACACCAGGCCTCCATCACCACTTAGTATTTGTACTGTTTTTGTCTGTCTACATCTCTTTCTCTAGCCTGACCATGAAGTTTTTGGGAGCTTGGGCTGTTTTGTTTACCTGTGAATCCCCACTTACACTATAACCAGCACAGGATAAGCGCACAGTGACTGTTGAATGAGTTCACCTGAGAAAGAGATGCCCCTTATACCCTCTTTCTGCTCCACCCAGAAAGCTACCAGCTCTATCTGGAAGTGGCCCCCCACCCCCTGCTTTCTGAGTTTATGCAAGAACGTTTTGCTGCTTGGAGTCTCTCCATCCAGCACAATATATGTCAGCAAAGCAAGGCTTCACGGAAGGGAGCCAAGGTGGCCCTGCCCAGTCAGCCTTCCCCCGAGGAGGTATGCAATATGTCAGTACAAGCTGGACTGGTATGCAAATACATACCAGCTCCTGAACGCTATCTCTGAACTATCTAGTTTTTTTATATCTCAATTATATTTACTCTTGATCAGCCTGGATATAGTATGGAAAGCTATACTGAATTATTAACAATACTGCTTGAGAGCAAGGACCACAACAAGGGAAATGTCAAGGGGACAGACTCTTGAGTTTAATGGTGCCAAATGCCAAGAAGGAAATACTTCTACCAAGGCCTCATCCCAAGGTTAGGCACAAAGATAAGAGGACTCAGGTAAATATAGAAATAAAAGTCCCAGCAGTTCACGAAACACAACTTAAATAAACATTTATGGATCTAATATATTTTGTTATAACGTTTAACATGAAATAATTATAAACAAGGGGAAAAACATAAACACTGTAATTAAAAAACAATTTAGTAGACTATAAGTATACACAATGCAGATGAAATTTCATATTCTACTACCTCCTCTGGCTTTTACCCAAGAACATTAAAAAAAAAAGCGAAGAAGAAGAAAAAGGGAAATTAATACATCTAAAGGGTTTGCTTTTGAGAGGAGAAATAGAGACTCCTCAGCAGTCTGTTAGAACAAAAGGACCATACTCTCAGTTTTGCAGGTATGGTCAGTGACCCCCAGCACCTCTTTCACCTCTGACCTTGGGATCCTGTCAAGAGCTAGAGGTACAGCTTTTTTCTGACTTTCTGGCTGCTACAGCATAGAGACCACAACCCCACCTCCATTTTCCCCAAATTGCAGGGCACATATAGGACCCACGGGGCCTTGGGAATAAGAATTATAGTAGTTGGTCGCTCTTTGCTCTTAATCACAGGGCTGATGTTTGTGGTACCTGGAGGAAGTTTCAAATCTATGGAAGTCCAATCTCCATAGATTTGGAGGGACTCAGGCCAAGTGAAGCTCCACTAGAAAAAAGGACGGCTCTGGCCCTGATTGGTGTTCCTGCCTATTAGCTGGAGCTCTCTTAGTGTAGGAGCGTGTTCCTGCCTATTAGCTTGGCCACAGAGCTCTCATTGTAGGAGCTCCGCCTCCTACGCTTCTTCCCTGCTGCTCTTAGAACCAACGCCCTGTGGGTTCCACCAGGAGGCGCCTCTGGTGCCTCTCCGAGCTTCTGTGACGCAGGCAGAGACCGTTCAATGTCTTGGGCACTAGATGGCAGTATATACTGCCCTATTTCAAAGGCCGGACTTGTGAATGAAGGAGCCGGTGGGGGGTGGGGAGTACTGACTGAAATGTAAGTCAGTTTTACGTGAAAACTGAACATCATGAAAAGTTTAATTTTTTCAGGCACTAATAATTATTTAATCCTATACATTTAAAGTATTCCAAGTCTCTGAGTCCTGAAACACCCTGGAAACCCACTTGCCCAACCCGAACATCCCTCCATCTTACAGAGCTGGGGTACGCCCCTCAGGCCTGTGAACATGCAATCGCTACATCTATTGAAAGGGTAACGACAGACGGAGATCAACTAAGGTGGTAGGTGAGGTTCAGAAAAGGAGGAGGAGAGCAAATTTGGAGAAATAGGAGAAGGTAAGTGAAGTGAGGAAAAAGAGGGGTGCTGAAGTAAGAAATGAGGGGAAAATAAAATAAGGGAAATGGCGGGGGGGGGAGAGAAAAAGAGGAAAGGGGAGAAAGGGGAAATGGGGAAATAGAGAAAAGGAGAAAAGAAACAAGGAAAGAAAGATAAAGGAATGGAAATGGGGGAGAAAGTAGAGGAAATGGGTAAAGAAAAAAAAGAAAAGAGAAAAAAGAAGGGAAATAGTGAAATGAGCGGGAGCAGAAGAGCAGAGAGAAGGAAGGGGAGGATTGAGGAGAGACAGCGAAGGGGCAGAGGGAAGCCGGGAAAGGGACTGCCTCTGAGGGGTTCAGGGAAGAGAGGACACAGCGAGCCGGGGAAAGGAGGTGACGATATCGTTAAGTAAGCAGAAAGAGACAGAAACTGAGGAGAGTTTGAGCGTGCTTCTGTGAGTTTTGTTTACGGCATTTATTGGGTACTCCTGATGTGTGCCTGGCACTCTCTCTCTACTGAGGCAACCGCTCTCCTTACACGCCGCCCCCCCTCAAAAAAGCGGGGGGGGGGACGGTTGGAGGGCGGTGGTTTAAGGCTACAACACTTGGGGCTTTCGAGGGCGTCGTCTCTTCTGTAGGGGGACCCATTCGAGGTGAGACTAGAGACATTTGCCCTCACACTGAGCTCGAGCCCCGCGAGACCAGGCCACTAGGGGGGCACGGCAGCCCGGGTGGGCTGCGTGCGTTATTTCTGGCGGAGGATGCGCCATGAGCGCTGAAAGAGCCTGAACCGAAGCGTCCGGCTCGCCGAGAGAGTGAGAGCCGGGCCGGCTCCCAGGAGCGCGGGCGAGGGTGCGAGCGGCAGCGTGGGTGCCAGGGCACGAGGGTGCGGCGGGGCGGGGCGAGGGGTGGAGAGGCAGGATCCAGCCCGCTCAGGGCCCCCGCCAGCCCGCCGGAGAAGCGGCGGAGGAGCGTCCTCCGCCGGCCCCTCTAGGGTAATTTACATGCTGTCATATCCCAGTGCTGACTCTCGGGTGTGCAGATCGCTCACTAGCTTACTCGCTCTCAGCTCCTGCCACCGCTCAGCCGTCACAGCCCAGGGGAGCCCGAGAACCGGAGAGCCTGCAAACCGAGGAGGGAGGGAGCAAAGGAGGGAGGGAGCAAGGGCGCGCCCCGGCTCCCCCTCTGCCCTGCTGCCCGCCCTTCCTGCCTCCACAGGTCCGCCCCAATCCCCGCTCACACTTGGGAAACTTGGGACTGCGCTGGGGCCGCGTGTGGCACCTCAGGGGGACGGCCCCGGCCTCAAGAAGAGGGGGAGGAGAAGGAGGAAGAGGAGGAAGTGAGCCCGAAGGATCCGCTCAGAGCTGTTTGTCCAGCTGTTTCTATTCGCACCCGGAGCAGTACAGCCAGAAGGGGGCCGAGCCGAGGGTGGCTGGCTTTAGGCGCTAATTTCCAACTCTTTTCCTCACAGCTTGTCTTTTCTAGGCACCCTGGAGTCCCCTCAGGCCAGCCCGGCGGGCGCGCACCTGCCAGCCGCCCCTGACCTCGCAGGCCAGGCGACCTCCGAGCCTGAGAAGATGGCCCAGTCCAAGCTCGACTGCCGCTCACCTGTCGGCCTCGACTGCTGCAACTGCTGCCTGGACCTGGCCCACCGGAGCGGACTCCAGCGAGGCAACAGCGGGGAGAACAACAACCCGGGCAGCCCTACAGTGAGCAACTTTCGGCAGCTGCAGGAAAAGCTGGTCTTTGAGAACCTCAATACCGACAAGCTCAACAGCATAATGCGGCAGGATTCGCTAGAGCCGGTGCTGCGCGACCCCTGCTACCTGATCAACGAGGGCATCTGCAACCGCAACATCGACCAGACCATGCTCTCCATCCTGCTCTTCTTCCACAGGTGGGTGGCTCGGCACACGGCGGGAACTCAGTCCTTGCTCGCACCAGCCTCTGCTGCACCCTCACCTCTGACAAAAGGGGCAACTAGGAAGTTCACGAGGGTTACTGGGGAGGTCTGACTCACAGGCTGCAGTGACTGGACCTTGAGGTTGCCTGGAGTACCGCGGAGCTGAGGGGAGGCCTGGCAGGTGCAAGCCCTATTCTGAAAGGTGCCTGCAAAGGCTTTCTGATGGGGACGCTGGGCCCTAGAAGGTGGGCAGACACCAGATGGTTTGGAGGTAGCTGAAAGTACCCCCTCCTCAAATGGACACATTTCCATAGCCCCTTTGGAGATTCTGCCATGGGGTCTCCTTGAGTTCCAAGTTCTACCCTTCTCCAAAGCCCATTTCTAAATGTGCAAACGCAGATTGAAACTGCAAGGGCTTTAAAATTACTGAGTGGCCCTGACTGACAGTGAGGGCAAGCAAAATGTCAAGACAAATTAAACTGCTGGTGGTGGGAGAGGGAGAGGGGAAAATTTTTAAAAATCAGACACTTGTGAGAATTTCTTGAGCCTCTGGATGGGAGGGATTCGCCTCCTTCATGGATCACAGCCTTCAATTTCAAATGTAAGCTAAGCGCAACCCCAGAGAGCACCCTAGGACACCTTGAGTGCCTCAAGAACTATGTGTGGCAGGAGGGCGGATGAATCCATGTCGTTGCAAGCGTGTGTTGGGGTACGGGTCAAGCTTTCTAGAAATCCTGCTGGGGAGGCAAGGGGAGGACAAGGGAGGGAAAAACACAATGGGAAGACCCAAGGCGGCTGCTGTCCTTCAGTTTGAGACACCCTGGCAAGAACCAGTCTCTGGGAACAACTGAGGCAATTTAGAGGCAGGGCAGACAACATCAGGAAACCCAGCCATGGATTTAGTGTCCTTAGCGCCATCAGGATAGGGCACCAGCATGTGTGTGAGAGTGTATAAGGGAGGATTTATTCTTGCTCAACAACACAGGTTATGTAAAAGAAAGACATCGCCGCTATGGGAGACCTGGGTTGTAGCACAAGTTATGACTTCACCTGTTTGTATGAGCCTGAGCAAGTCGCCTGACCGCTCTAGTCTCTCTAAGGTTCCTTTTAGCTCTGAGATGATTCTAGGTTGTAGGCAAGTGATGTGCCCAAAGTGATAAGAAATTCTGAGCACCTACAAAATATTTGGAATGCAAGCAGGCTCAAATAGGAAATTTTAAAAGCAATCGAGAAAGGCAGGCGCTATCCTCACTTAATGCTAAGAGCAGGTTTGCCTCCCTTGCCCCAAGACAAATCCACCATCGCCTCCGCCTCAGCCCAGCCCCAGTGGTTCTGGGCAAGACAAGCAGGGCTGCTAACCTCGTTAGTGTTATTATAACAAGTCGTATTCCTCGGGAATTTTCGACACCACTGAAGCCCTTTCTCATCTATTGTTTCACTTTAGGCATCAAATTATCTCATTGTCTAAAATAAACCAGGCTGATTTTTTAAAAAATAATAAAATAAAATAAACCAGGCTGCGGACAGAAAGGTTTTGAGGGAATCTTCATTTCTGGTGAAAGATTACCACAAGTGTATTCAGCCCACAGATGCTGAAATCCTGCGGAGCGAAAGCCCTAACAGGCTCCTAAGGATCCCGCCTGTCTCTGTTGGAGAGTGGCAGCAGGGGAGGGATAGTAGAAAAACCTGGAAAGAGCACTTGTAGCATTTGCATTTGTTCAACTGGGAGAGAAAGTGCCACTCCAGGCTTTAGGAAAGTGTGAGAGGAGACGCTTCCTCTGGTTCTGGGCCTAGGAGGATCAAACCAGGGTGAGGGAAGTGTGAGGCTAAAAGCCTGAGACCAAAGTGTTTACTTGTGCCACACGTCGGGAGCATCCTGGCTGTTTGGGTTTCTGGAAAGGGAATACCTCCTTTGTCATCTACTCCACTAATACGAGTTTAGTGACCCTTGGTTTCTGGCAAAGCCTGGAAATGCTACAGGGTGGAGATGTAGGGGGGTGGCGTTATAGGTATTGGTTGAGGGAGAAGCACAAATTGTAGGAAAGATGTGTGTGAGCACCCTGTCTCCTTCGATCAGAGCAACTCACTTAGCGTTCAAAACCACTGAGGAGCGAACCAGCAAGCTCTCAGGCTTTGCTAAGGCTGGGGAGTAACAGGGTCCTGTGGTAACAGTCTTATAGTTCTAAGAGGACAAAGCAATCTCTTGCCTTTTTTTTTTTTTTTTTTTTTTTCCTGAGATAGGGTCTCACTCTGTCACCCAGGCTGGAGTGCAGTTGCGTGATCACAGTTCACTGCAGCCTCAAACTCCTGGGCTCCATCAATCCTCCCACTTCAGCCTCCCAGATAGCTGGGACTACAGGCATATACCACCATACCCAGCTAATTTTTGTTTTTTTTTGTTTTTTTGGGTTTTTTTTTTTTTTACAGAGACGGGATCTTGCCATGTTGTGCAGGCTTGTCTCGAACTCCTGGGCTCAAGCGATCCGCCCACCTCAGCCTCCCAAAGTGCCGGGATCACAGGCTTGAGCCACTGATCCCCTCTTGTTTTCCTTGACAACTGGGACCTTAGAGACTGGGGATTCTGAATTCGGTTTAGGTTTTGCCCAGTATGACATGCTCCATTAGCAAACTAGAAGACCATTATTGCTAGTCATGGGGCTTCTCCAATATGTGGGGTGGACAGCCTTCTCCTAAGTGGACATTTCCCTTGTTATTTCATTAAATTTCCTGGGTTTCTATCATCATACTTCAGTCATCGTTTTTACTTCTATTCAATTTAATGATTTGACATTTCAGGTTCCTGTTGGGTGCTTTTTTCCTTTGTCAACTTTCAAGGCCTCTCCTGCTGGAGAAGCTGGTCTCCCCACCCCTCCTCCTGCAGTCCATTCCTCTGCCGAGAGGCCTCCTATCTTCTTAGGAAGAAGGGGGCAGGGCACATTCTTGATTTACATCTGGTTTGTCTGCTTTGACCTGTCCCTGGCTCCCAGCTTCGTTCTTGGTTTCCTTGGAATACAAGAGTATAAGCAATTTGAGGGCAGGCCTGTATTTTACTTGCTTGGTTTTCCCTTGGCTTTTAGTTATACAGCCCATATTCAATAAAGGTTTCTTTAGTTGGATGACTACTTAAATATTGACGTGGTCCCTTGTAAAGATTTTACAACTTTATACTGTGCTAGAAAATTCTTATTAATGTTTAAAAGTTGTTTTCCTTCCTTTTAACCGCATGCAGTAACTCTCCTAGCCTGATGGAAGTCCTGATAGTATTGTGTATATACATATGAATCAGTGAGAATGGGCATGCAGCCTATTGTTATGTAAATGGTACCTGTACACCATTGGGTTGGGGAAGAAGTGTATTTTAAACACTATCCCTTTAATCTTGTATTATGTAACTAATAACCATAATAGATTAATAACTAACACTTCTTGAACATTCACAATGTATCTGCATAATCTTATTTAATATTTACATCAACTCTATGGAACGGGTACATTTATTTATTTATTTATTTATTTATTTATTTATTTATTTATTTTGAGACGGAGTCTTGCTCTGTTGCCCGAGCTGGAGTGCAGTGGCATGATCTCAGCTCACTGCAATCTCCACCTCCTGGGTTCAAGCAATTCTCCTGTCTCAGCCTCCTCAGTAGCTGGGACTACAGGCACATGCCACCACACTCGGCTAACTTTTGTATTTTTAGTAGAGATGGAGTTTCAACATATTAGTCAGGCTGGTCTCAAACTCCTGATCTCAAATGATCCACCAGCCTTGGCCTCCCAAAGTGCTGGGATTACAGGCGTGAGCCACTGCGCCGGACCAAATGGGTACTATTATCATGCATTTTCATTTTATAAAGAAGGAAATTGAGGCTTGGAAAAAATTAAGTATCTTGCCCAATGCATCACAATGAAGAGCAGAGCATGAATTGTCTATGAAGAAAGAATTGTTAAGAACACTCAGTAACTAAACTAATGCTAAAGAAATTCTTGGAACACTTCAGAATTGTCTATGAAGCAGAGGTAAATGTGAGCTCAGAACCTTTCAAAATGGTCAAAATGTCCTTATTAGGTAGGGAAACCAACCATCCCAGTCCTGGGATACAGACTGCCTATGCTCAAACTGGAACAGTCCTAGGGAAACTGGGATGGTTGGTCACCCTATTGTTAGGGGACTCCCCCTTGTCATTTGAATATGTTTCTAATACTGGAAAACTTAGGAGGGAGATAGAATATTTTGGGCAAGCAGCAGAAGTTTCCAATTTAAACGTAGCATATGAAAAATCTTCCCAAGTTGACATTTGAAGAGCCTTCCTTAATTTTTCTGACCTGTAAGGTATAACAACCTGGAACGGGAGCTTTGGCAGTATTTGTTGTGATTGTTGTTGCGGTAACCTCAAATTTTTTTCTAAGATTTTACCCAAAACCTCTTAATCAGCTCTATTCTACCTTTGACCCCAGAGCATACCTGGCAAGTGTGATCTGAAATACTCTGAATCCGATTTCCCTTCCGGCTCTAAAAACCCTAGGATTCTACCTTTAAGCTTCTGATCTGGCCCCAGCTGGTTCCCACACATAAATGCTCAGAAAATGATAAAAACAGCAAACATTTCTAATTGCTTTATGTGTGCTAATTCATTTAATACTCCTATTAATATAGTAACAAAGGGGAAGGATAAAGATTCGGAAATCAGGTTTTCAAGAAAAAATTGTGCAAAAATTATTTGTGCTTCTCTAAGTGAGTCTCAGAACAAGTAATTTCATAATGTATATTCCTGGACCTGGCTTCTGAGGTGGTGGCCACTCACACGGCATGATTTGAGTGGCTGCCTGCTGCAGTAAAGTGCCTAAGTTCATACTATTTAAGATTCAGTTCTCTGTCCATGTACCATCTAAAATTCCTCTCCCAGAGCACCGCTGGTATGTAGACCACACTGTGAGAAACCCTGTATTAGAGATTGCAACCCATTGTCAACTAATTTACCATTTGATTTTGA